TTGAGTAATTGTCCCCCGACACCCTCGCTTTTACGCATGTTAATTGAAAACTATTTGCATAAAAATTAAATATTGGAAATCTTAATTGGAATTATGAAATAGAGCTCAAAGTAATTGAAATAAACATTAGAAAATTAAGAAACATAATGCTATCTTTGCAAAAACAAATCAAATAATAAAAATTGAAAAATTAATATATATATATATATAATAAGAAAAAAGGGAATTTACATGAAGATACAAAAGGTTAGAAAAAGCATTAATTAACTTACGTTCTTTCTAGTGGGGTGTGGGCAAAGTGTTTTCTTCTGTGTCTTACTCAGAAAGGTTATGTATCCGAAATTCCTTATCGGCAGCGGGGGCTTTAAATTATTTCAGGTGGCGAAACTTGTAATTTATGGGCCATGGGAACGCATAAACCATATTTATGGAAACCATATTTATGGGGCATGGGGCATTGAAACTGAAGTAATTTATGGGGCATGGGAGGGACTAGGAATGCTTGATGTTTGTTGTGGAGTTCTTATGTGAGTGAAACTGTCTGTTAAAATTTTGAATATACTAGTGAATGGAAATTAATTAATTTCTGGCTAATTGTCGCGTCGGAACGAGGAAGAAATTAAGAGCAGGAAAAAAGTAATTTCCACTGTCAAAGAGCTATTTGACAGACTAAAGATTATGAGATAGGCCCATTTTCTTGGTAACCGCATAAGAAAAGTCTGAAAACAATTAGCTTTTTACAATATATACAACTTTGTAATAATTACACTATATACAAATCCTTCAACTGATAGTCATCCAACTTATACCGCCCTTCTCAGGTTTAGGAACAAATTATCATATCCCTATCAGTTACATGATTTACAGTGAATATTTAACGCCTGCTCTTTTAAGACAATGGTTAATAAATTGATTAGGTATTAGATTATTTTTGAGAATTTTAATACGGAGCAAAATTTCGCGTTGTAGATCTATTGTATGTGTGCAAATATTTTTAACACGTTGTATTTGATTTATTATTGTATTACTAATTCCTTTATTTTTATAAAGGAGAAATCTTTCCACAAAATCATAGCTCAAGACGATATCACAATACCCGCAAGACTTCCTGGATCCATAGCCGAAAATAGACATTTCTGCTACAGCATCATAGCATATCCCTATAACTGTAATACCCCGAAAGGAGTGCTAGTAGCTTCAGCACTCGTTGACCTATCGAGAACGGTTATCCTGGGGACAGTTCACAATGTAACTGAAAAGGCGAGAGTTATGAAGAAAGGATGAATTGGTTGCAGCATGTACTCTAGTAACCAGCGTTGAAAGAAAGACTAACATCCCAGAATCCGTGTCTTCAGAGAACATTACATAAGAGTTATTGCAGAATGCGCAATTAAACGCTGAAGAGAGGAATGCTGCCGATCGTGTCATTAACGATTTTCAAGATGTTTTCTCCCACTCGTCTTCTGACTGTGTCGAACCAGTTTCACGCGACATGGAATAGATGCCGGTGATCATGAACCAATCAAGCAGCATCCAAGACGTCTACCGATTGCTAAACAGGAAGAGGTATGAGCATTTTCATAGGATATGGAAGAAAGCAATGTCATTGAGCCTTCAGAAAGTCTATGGGCATCTCCCATCATACTCGTCAGAAAGAAGGACCGCTCAACAAGATTTTCGTCTTGACTATCGCCAGTTGAATGAGGTTACAAAGAAACACAATTACCATCTTCCTAAAACTAACGACATTCTGGACACTCTTTCTGGAAGTAAGTGGTTCTCAACACTTGGTTTAAAGAATAGGTATTGGCAGGTAGAAATACCCTGATAACCGAGAAAGGACAGCTTTTACTACGGGACAAGGACTTTGACAGTTCAAGGGGATGCCATTTGGACTGTATAATGTGCCGGCAACATTCGAACTCCTCATGGAGAGTTTTGAAAGGTCTTTCCTACGAACCCTGTCTGATATACGATGTATCACGACCTCGTACCTCGATGACACCATCATCGTCGGAAAGAGTTTTGAAGAACGTCTAGAAAAGCTTAGAATGGTGCTTCAGAAACTGAAAGAAGCCAATCTAAAGTTGAGTCTCGCTAAATGCAAATTATTCAGACAGGAAGTGACTTACATCGGACATGTCATCTCTGCTGAAGGTGTGTGCACGGAACCTGAAAAGGGTTCATTTCTTAAAGGCTGGAAACGACTTTAAAATGTCCATCAGCTGAGAAGCTTTCTAGGGCTTTACACCTCCTCCAGGAGGTTCGTGAAGGACTTTTCCTCCATCGCAAGACCGCTTTACAAGCTGACAGAGATCAAGCAAAAGCTATGCATTTAACAACTTAAAGGAAGCTTTAACATCTGCTCCAATCCTGGCGTATTTTCAGCTTGACAGACCATTTATTCTCGACACGGACGCGAGCAATGAAAGTGTCGGTGCTGTTTTGTTCCAAGGAATAGACGGCCAAGAACATGTAGTGGCATACTGGAGCAAGCGCCTGTCTAAACAGGAGATAAATTAGTGTGTTGCGAGAAGAAACACAGAGTCGAAACCGTAGAACAGTGAGGAAACAGTTGCTTGCGAGAATCAAAACCGTAGAACATTTCCATCATTATCTATACGACAGAAAATTCCTGCTTCGCACGGATCATGCATCATTGACATGGTTTTTAAATTTCAAGAAACCTGAGGGTCAAATAGCCAGGTGGATACAGAGACATCAGGAATATGACATCATTATCTGTCATCGGAAGGGATCAACACACGGAAACGCCGATGCACTGTCTAGAAGACCTTGTCCAGTAAGCTGCCGGTATTGCTCCAGGGTCGAAGGGAAATACGAGTTGCTTACTCCGGTCGCACCACAAATTACATGAGCATTGGCTGATAGTGATCCGTGGAGTGACAAAAAAGTCAGGAAAGACTAGCTGGGAGACGTCGACTTAAAACCAATAATTAATTGAATGGAGTCCTCAAGCAGGAAACCTACATGGCAGGACATTCCGATCTACAGTCCGACGACAAAACAGTGCTGGGCACTATGAGATTCACTTCACATTTGAAACGGCGTCTTATACCGGAAGTTCGAATCGGATGATGGAAGACATTGCGATGGCAACTGATACTTCCAAGAACGCGGATTCCTGATGTCCTCAAAGAACTACATAGCAGTACTACAGAAGGTCACTTTGGAATAATGAAGACCTTCCAGAGTTCGTGAGCGCTTTTACTGGAATAATGCAAAGGATGACGTGCAAAAGTGGTGCCGATCTTGAGATGCCCGTGCAGGACAGAAAGTGCCGAAGAAACGCAGCCGAGCCGAGCTACAACGTTACAACGTAGGAGCGTCTTTTGAACGTTTGCCCTTTGACATCTTGGGACCTCTGCCACGAACTGCTGATGGCAACAAATACATCCTCCTTGTCATTGGAGTGAGACACACCAAGTGACCTGAAGCGTATCCTATTCCTGATCATGAGGCTGTCACAGTAGCAGAGGTGATGATACAGCACTGGATTTCCAGCCTCGGATTGGCTCTTCAGTTACATTACGATGAGGGAAGGAATTTTACCTGAGATGTAATCAAAAAACACTGCAAAGTACTCGACATTGACAAAACACAAACGACGCCTTTTCATCCCCAGTCAGACGGCATGGTAGACAGGTTTAATCAAAGAATCCGTAATAACTTCTCATTAGTGGTTTCTAGAAACCAACAGGATTGGGACAAGAAGTTATCCCTGTTTTACCGGCTTACTGCAGTGCTGTGCACGAGACTACAGGCTATTTTCCATCTCAGATGCTCATCGGTCGTGAACTTCTTCTGCCTTGTGATGTCTTGTTTGGTCGTCCTCCGGATGCGCCTTTATCGTCTGAGGTATACATCCAAGATCTCCAGGCCCGGTTTGAAGTGATGCACAATTTTGCCCGAGAGCAAGCCAACTTGGCGACAGAGAATATGAAGGCCCGATACGACACGAGAGCTACTGGACATCGATACAACGTAGGAGACAAAGTGCGGTTGTGGAATCCGACTCAACGAAAACGACTCTGTCCGAAACTGCAGTCACCTTGGGATGGTCCTTATACAGTCCTAAACAGGCAGAACGACGTGGTGAATCGGATCCACTTCAAGTCATTCAAACTCTAAACTTAAAGTCGTTCATTACGACAGGTTAGCTCCTTACTATGGTCATATTACGTAGTGTAAATAATTGTAAATAATGTAAGACCATGGTCCTTTTTGTTTCTAAATGTGCATTTGATATGACTTGTATTTAATATTTGATATTTATTAGTTTTTCATAGTATTTTTAATTGTTTTAAGTTATTATTACAATTATTTTTTATGTTGTTTGCTATTGAAATTTAATATTTATTATTGCATTGATGCCTTAGTTGTAATTTTGGCTTCCTGTCCAAGGATTGTACTGCCCAGGACGTGCAGTCCTTGGAAAAGGGGCAGTGGTACGTTTTTTGTATTGATTTAGCTATTTTTAAATAGAATTAATTAAAATTGTTTTATATTACCGTACAATGCAGCACGAGACTTATTTGAAGAGAAAGGCTACGCGTAAAAATTAAAAATACAGGAGCACGCGCATTTAATAAATAGATATCTCTTAAATGTACGGTTTTGCTTTTCGGGGAAAATCGAGAAAAGACCAGAATATTCTCGTGCACATTTAAAAAGCTTATAAAAAGCGGGATGCAAACATCTCAGTTCAGTTGTTCAGATTGTTGTTGTTTATTGTAGCGAATTCGCGGTGAAATCAGGTTAGCTTTCTCTATTTTGAATTAGTTCTGTTGAAGGTTTTGGTAGTTTAAAAAATAACTACTGCAAAATATTCCAATATTCCACGAATATCTGAGGAAATTTGTTTTTATTTGTTGTGATAAGAATAAATTGTTTTCACGTTTCATCGGACTTGTGCATTCAATTTATTACGAACCAATATAAATACAGTAAGAGTAAAATAAAGAATCATCTGTACTTACGCGTGAGAGATCATATTCGAAATTTTGCTGAAGAATTACGGATTCGAAATACGGATTTAAAGTTGTGAAAGTGAACTTCGGAAGGGAACTATCGTTTGGTCTCAGTAAATAAGTGGTTTTCAATATGAAGTCTCTGTAATCTTCTCTTTTCTGACAATTTTTTTCAATACATCTTAAAGAGTCAGGATGGCTCAAAGATGGCTGGTCCAACTTGAAAAGAAAAATTATTTTTATGAGATGGATAACAGAAAAAAATTCGTTAATATATTTTTTCATTTAAAATACTATATTAACTGAAAAACGAAAATTGGGAAAAGGAATTGGCGTAATAAGCAAGCGTAAAGTTTATCAGATCAAACGAAACTTTCGTCTTCAGAAATTTCAAATGTGCAGCTAGAGAAGAATTTTCTATTTGCCCTCCATAAACTGGATGTTGTTTACGTCACACCAGGTGCTGATAACGATAATTTGTTTTCGTAGTATTTAGTGCTTCGGCGTGTAACACTGGTTTAATGCCTCCCGGGGCATTAACCCCCCCCCACGGGATGAAAAGTGAATTCCATCAAAATTGAGGGCAGAATTGAGCTAAATCGCCCTGTCACCTGTAAGGTGCTCAAGGCTATTGCTAACGACCACCGTAATATTGAACTCCTTGCCACGAGGAATTTGGGATTGGGCTGACTAGACGTTAAGACTAGTCAGCATTAGTCAACAGCAACAATGGATTAACGTTTTCGAAAACAAATCTATTAAAAACAACTGTTTTCTTTGCTGTTTATTTCCAAAAAGGCAAAATTATTATTTTCTTCGAAATAAAAAAGGCTTCACACCGTAGTTTTTAAACAAATTTGTTATTAGGATTTGTAAATTTAGTCAACTTTGCAAAAATGTTTAAATTCTCGTACTAATGCAATCCGATGCTTATTTCTTGACCACCATCTTTCCAAAAATGATTTCATTTAAATTTTTAGTCATGTGATTAAAGGAACACGTTGAAAGCGTGAATGGATTCATGGATCTAGTTTAACATGTAAGAAACATTAAAAAAATATTTGGCATTTGATAATGAGAAACTGAGGACGATAGCGGATAGCCTTAGATGCTAATATGTGCGGTCTCTCATTTACGCTTAATAGCCTTGCTTCGTATGGTAAGCTTATTTTTGCAACACATAGAAAACATTAAAAATTTTTAGTATGCCTCAACTAAATGCTTATGATGCTTCCATAGCTTGATTATGTCCTCTTGCTGTCTTATAATCATTTCTAAGCTTCCAGTTAAACGCACCTAGAAAAAGCGATAGATAATTATGAAACGTTCAAGAACAACGGAAGTCAACGAAGAATGGGTAATTTGAGAATGAGTAACATAAAAGGAGCAAGAACGCCTGAAACCGTTAGAGACTAATACGTTGCAAGACGCCTTGGGAGTCGATGCATCGGGAAATACCGTTTGTTATTGACGCCTACAAACATCTAATGCTTCCAGATTCAATGTAATTGCGTATCCAAGTTAGAAACTAGAGTTGTGATGGCTAGATCCGGTAGTCCAATCACGTCCTAGACGTGTTCGACGGAGAAGGGGAAGCGCGATCGAAAGGTCCATGGATAGATTACTGTATTTTTGCCGCCCAGACGGATAAGTGGTTAGTGAGTCTGACTACCGAACCGAAGAGTTTCGAATCCCTGAAAAGGCATGGATGTAATTTGTCTGTAACTTTATAGGACCACCCCCGAAGGTCGACGCAGAGTTCTCTGCGAAGTACTGGCTAGGATCTGTACGTAAGCAGTCTCGGCCACGGGGGTATAAAATTTTTGAACTTGGTCGTTCCCGATGGTCCATGGGGTGAGTCTATACTTACTCTTCTTGGGCCGGGAGGTGTCAGTCCCCTCCACCAGGGTACTGGTAGCCAAACAACAAACTGGACCATTGACAATCTCGTCACTGCTGTCCTTGGTATTCAACGTAAAGCATAAGGAGAGGGGCATGGCGTGTAGTGCTGGCAGGTAGCCTCACTCAAGGGCCAGTTATCGCTCCAAGTGTCATCGCCCACTACACCATGGTCTACACCGGGACGGTGGTTCTGACTGGTCCGTGTTTAGCGGTGGGTTCTCTAAGAGCTGAGCGTTTAACAGAAGGAGCTGAATAATTTGTTGGTTAACTCGGGGATGTGGGACCCCGGGCCCAGCAGGAGTGTCAAAAGTCATCTTTGTGTGACTGATTGTGGTGTTTGATACCAGACCCCGAATGTGGTTTAGTTCACGGGCGGCGGTATAAATTACAGTTACAGTACCTAAATAGGAGGCAACGGTGGCGCACCTATTAGATGCCTTCATAATAAGAGATGACCGCTTCCTATGGCCAACGTCTATAAACGGCTGGAGCCGCCCATTGGCTCCAATCCGTAACGACATGCACGGCATGCGGATGAGCACTATTAATTGTAATGCCTGCTGGAGGATTTTTTTTTGAGGCATGACAGCATGAATGCGAAATCAGCTCCAGGAAGTAGACTACGTAAAACTGGCAGGTTATGATGATGCGCAAAATGATTAAAGTTAATAGGAAGCATCATAAGCAACACATGCAATAGTAACCTGTACAATAAATACGAGTTGTGATGGAAGTATAACTCATCACAACGGGAAGAGGCAAAGGAACAGTGTTGTCCTGGCTACCGAAAGACATGGATGGGACGATCATTTGGGTCAAGCAAAAACATGAATTGATCCCTGAAAATGATACGATTATTTTTTTAGTCTGATACATTCTACTCTGTACGACTACAACACAGCAACAAATGTTGTTGGCGATGAACCGGCGTTAATCTTAGTCGCTATAAGAGGTGCCGAAAACGCAGTAAACTCTTCGCCAGTTATCGTACAATAATTTTAAGAGACATCAAAATGCTTTGAAGATGTGGGGGTAGATTTTGCTCAATGTTGAAAAGTATAATCATCGGTATGTTTATCGCAGAGCGGATGAAGGCTTTCTCAATGAGTCCAATCGTGCTTCGTAGTTTGCTGCTCCCTTTTGCTAGGTGACACACTGCGTGCTACTATGCAAATTGCTGACAACGTTATTTCACCGTTTCATCGATTTGGCATCCGTACTTGGAAATTTGGGGTTATGACCGTCTTGCTTCCTGGAAGGCGATAATTCATTTCATTCATTCCTGTGAGCTTGTTGGGTTGGTCTTCAAAAAAGAATATTCTCCTTGGTTGTGTCAATCAACACTATCAGAACATCGGTTCGAATTCTTAAGGCAGGCGAAGAATAAAAATTCATACACATGAATCAATATTCAGTATATAACTGAATAATTCATAAGGTTGCACATTTATGAAGGAAGAACAGTAATTCGCCTTTATTTTGACAAGATTAAAACTACTCTCATCAAAACATTCTACCATTTAATGGATAAGAAATTTATATTCGAAGGAATATTCAGTGCTAATTACGTTGATATATATATATATATATAAGAAACGGAAATCGTTTCATTAAATTCAGTGAAGAAATGGGCTACCTTTTTAATAATTTCCCTTCCTTACAATACACATCCGAAGAGATCTAAGTCGATTAAAAGCAGGGTAAAAATACATTTGTGTCTATAAAAGTTATTTGTCTGTTCATTTACATACAACTCCATTGAATATCCTTGGAACATGATGAAAAAATGATTAAATTTCAATCAATCATCTGATCAGAAGGAAACCCAGACACATAATATCATGGTATTAGAAATTTGTTTGACACTTTTGACATGTCTTGGACGCGAAGGAAATAGATTGGCCGTAAACTACTTTCACAGAATTTTACTGAATATGATACAGAGGTTCATTTTTATGGCATTAGAAAAATCTTCCCTTTATGGCATTAGAAAAACTTGTACTGATTGTGCAAGAGTCAATATAATCTGTTATAAATTATTTATATAAGGTTGTGCCTACAATTATTAAATCTTACTGAACTGCAACACTTTCTAGAAAACAGGTTGAAACCCTAGCTGCTAAATCGTTATTATTTTACCTGTAGTTTGATAAATAATATATATCAGTATGACTCCCAATTGCGTTTTCAGTTCCGCCTCTATTCTGTTAAAAATATTCTCAAAAATTAAAATTCTAATTATTTGTTACATACAATGAGCCTACTTGTTTTTGTGATATATTAAAGTTATTTCTAATAAACCGTGATATTGAAAAACTTTTTTTAAAATTTTATTTCCATTTCCCTGAAATACCTGCTTTGAGGAGCTAATAAACCATGATTTTCAGTAACAAAATTAAGAGTGTTTTCAAGTATAATATAAAATAAATACGAATTAGTTATTTAGAAATTCTACAATATTCTTTTAAGTTCGAGAAAAGTATGCGTGTGCGTGTATCTACAGAGTCCAGAATTAAAGAGTCCATATTTCAAAGCTGCCTACAAACGAAGCCAGTCATGAGAATATTGCAAACTTTTGTGGTGCTTTTAATGAATGGGTGGCAATTAGTTATAAATATAGCCACTTCAAGGTATTGTATTAATAAATTACCAATTTACGATAGTTTTACAATTTTATTACAGCAAAACATGTTGCACATGATAGACCTCGTTTTCAGCTACCGTATAAAATCGGAAGATGGTATCTTCCACAGTTGTCCAAATGCTGTGTTGGGAAATGTTGACCACGTGGCCTGAAATACTGGCTTTAATATCAGGTAAAGTTGTTGGACGTCACGACTTTCCAGATGTTTCAATCGCCCCCAAAACCAAAACCGCATGAATTGAAACTGGGGATCGGGATGTCATACATTACAAAAGTACAAAAGAGCTGGTTGATTACACGTTCTTCTATACTTCTATAAAATGACGTTTAAGAACACCTGTAATACGTCGCACAATGTGTGGAAGAGTTCTATCTTTCATAAAGACTATATGCAAGGCATTATGATGCAGAAAATCCACACCATACCATCACTTCTGGCTAATGTAACGGGATCTCTAAGACAGGGCGCGTATTTTCTGGTTCGCAAATTAGGCAGTTGTGAATATTCACTGCACCGTCCAAATGAAAGCGTGCTTCATCTGTCCGGAGGATATTCCAAGGCCATTCTGAATCGTCGTCAAAGCGAACAAGAAACGGAAGTGAGAACCGGAGTCCAGTGTCAAAATCATGCGGAAGCAACCGCTGCACCAATGAAAGTTTGTAAGGA